CCATGATTAAAGGCACAACATCTCTAGATCATCAAACTGTCCTGCAGGAACCCAAAAGAAAGCTGAAATTCCGCAGGCAAACATCGAACATGCAAATAGGTGAGGAGGCATGCCGTGAAGTATTCAAAATGTAGTTTCAGGAAATCATTTGTTAATAAAAAATAAGTTTATATAAAATAGCAGTTGTTTCATGTAGTTACGAATCTGTTGGAAGATTCTTAAGTAATAAAACTGTCCCTCATGGCATCGTGTACAAAACAATCAGACCGTGAACATGTCCTGGTTTCGAATTTATGCCAGCATTTTATAATCACAATTTTTTTAGTACCACATCTATTAAACCATAGCGGAAAAATCTTAATCACGCTGATAAAGGTGGTAAAGAGCCCATGACTGACAAAGTGACCAAAACGCCATCACACTCTTAACCTTGGAACATGATCCAAATCTCACAAAGGATGATCTGTGTAGATTAAGTAGAATGCGGGCAGAAAACACGTTGCAGCACGTCTTAAAACAGAATATTGCAACATAAGTTCGTCAAAACCGGCATTACAAGAAGAATAAACAATGGGGCTGAGCGCAGATTCCAATGTCAACTCCAGCACTACTCAAGGATTCAAAGGGATGTCAGACGAAATGTCAGCTATAAGAACTGTGTCTATAACATAGCTTCACAGACGTATAATGGAACTCTACCAAATGTAAGGTATTAAGCAGGCATAGCAGCAGTAAATGGCTACAGCAAGGGGATTGGGGACAGCACTGTAGAAGATAAATAGTTTACGCTGCACTTCAGAAGTGCAGGATTCGAATCCCAAAGCGGTGAAAAATTTCCATCATTATCTGCCAATTCTCTTCAACAAGTAACCCACCCCATCCCTACCGACGTGCTTCGGTTCAGATAGTAGACAAACGAGTAATAATTCTATGACCCGCAAAGAACAGGGACAGCGCGATGTTCTAATGTCGACCACGATTCGAAACACACCCTTGTACGGACGACCCGAAAGACGAACGAACCTGATGAACACCTCTACCGCAAAGACTCGCCAGATAAGGGCCGAAACGTCAGTATCAATCAATCACCCGATTAATCACTTTTTGTTTGTGGATGCGATAGATCACTTTTATGTGATTTTTCAGTAAAAGAAATAACGAATACAAAAATTGCAGCATACAGAAGAAGAAATGGCTCATTTTAAGGTGGATTTAAAGCTAATCTCACGAACGTAGAATCATATCACCGATCAATCAAGCCAGCCGTTTCTCGCCATGAGTCTCAGATAACAGGAACAGAGAGAAATAGCATAGCCATGAAGAGATGCAAGTGCGACAATATTTGCTTCATATG